CAATTTTAAAATATATAATTGTGTTTACATGAAAGATTGTAAGGTATGCATATATGCTTTCTTACTATTAACCGAACTCTCAAACTCTAATCTATATGCAGAGTTGGTTTTAGTTGACTTATCCCACGTTATAGTTGAACCCACTTATAGTTTGAACTAGTGATGATTTCGTATTTTTATATTTCTACATTTAATTTTTTATTATTTTTTTTAAAATTTTAAAATTTTAAAGTCATTAACAATATAATTACAAATATAAAATTGTTCACAAATTGAGATAATTACAAGAAATAATTCAATATCTTAGTTAATGCATGGTGAGAGTTAACGATGAGATTAGCTATGACTATCTATGAGAATTAAGATAACAAAAAAAAAGACTCAATTGAAAGTTAAAAGAAAGGTGATCAGTGACTAAATTTACAAATTAAAAATTATGATAAAAGTAGGTAACCATACATGTCTCTTACCCAATATTTTGTCTAATCTTTTTCTTTCTCAGTTGGTTAGCATATGTTTTTGTAAGAAAGAAAAGAGAAAAGAAGTGTCGAGATTCAATTGGTTAAAATGAAACTTGATATCAAGTTTGAACCTTCAATTAGTCGGGAAGAGTTTTGAAAAAAGAAAAAGGCTTATAACCAATCATCTGATGCAAAAAGGGGGGGAGGAGAGGGGGAGGAGAGGAAGAAGACAAAGAAGAATGCAATCTAGGAAGAAAGGAAAAGTCTTACATACCTAGTTGAAATATAAAGCTTCTTCAATGTTAGATAGCAAATTCCACCGACTGCTTGTGAATAATAATGTAAATCTATACTCTTTGGAGTGGAGTATGGATTTCACCAAGATGATGCAATATCTGGAGAAGGATGTCCAAGCACAGATCATAAGTTGTAGACTTGTACCATAACCAATACTACAAAATCATCAAAAAAAAAAAAAGATGAAGAAGAAGGTACGTAGATAGGGAGGTGGAAGTAAATACTTAACAGAGTCTGTAACTAAGCATGTGTCGTTGATTGCTTCCTCTCGATCTGGCTTTGAGATTCTCTTAATATGCAGTACATCATGTGGATCTGCTTTAGAATGATTTTATATATCAAGACCAAAAGGAAAATGAAAATTAACTAAAGAAACGCACAGTAAAGGGAAAAACAATAATATTGTTGACGTGAAGTCAACCCTCCATTTATAAATTTCTGAAGATAAGGGCCAAGTCTACCAACCGGACCTGAGGCCCAATGGTTGGTTTCAAGCCTTAGAGTTTGGATGAGGCAGAGGTCAGGGTTTCGAACTCTGCCACCGTTGTGAACGCCACCAACTTGCAACTTAATGGTCACACGCCTCATATGAGGGGTGGAACGTTCACTATCCTGAAAAATTCTAGTTGCTAACAAAACTAACTCTACTAACTTCTTAATGTTCACTATCCTGAAAAATTCTAGCTACTAACTCTACTAACTTCTTAACCATCTATCTGGTCAAAAATAAAAAATAAAAAATACAGACCAAGTCAAAAAAATTGGAGAGTTCATGAATATATGCAAATAGTATTTAAAATTTTTTAAGCAAAAAATAAAATTAAAATTTTTTTGTAAATCAATGTTTTTGTAGTTAGCGTATGTCTTTGTAAAAAAATAACAGAAAAAAAGAAGTCTCAA